TCTCTCTGACTGTGTCTGGTGAGTCCAGTGTCTCTCAGCTCAGTGTGAGTCCTTCAGTCTGGCTCTGTGCGCAGGCGGTGAGCTCAATGCGCAGGCGGTGAGGTGTCTGTGCGCAGGTGGTGAGGTCTGTGCGCAGGCGGTGAGGTCTGTGCAGAGTTGGTGAGGTGTCAGTGCAGGCGGAAAGGTCTGTGCGCAGGCAGTGAGGTGTCTGCGCAGGCGGTGAGGTGTCTGTGTGCAGGCAGTGAGGTGTCTGCGCAGGCGGTGAGGTGTCTGTGTGCAGGCGGTGAGGTGTCTGCGCAGGGGAGAGGTGTCTGCGCAGGCGGAGAGGTGTCTGCGCAGGCGGTGAGATGTCTGTGCGCAGGCGAAGAGGTGTCTGCGCAGGCGGAGAGGGTTCTCCAGGTTCATGCTCAGAGAGCCCTACAGACAGGGCAGCTGACAGCTGTGTGCTGCTGTGTTTCTGCAGGGAGGCCGGGAGCTGTGCTGACCCAGGAGCCAGACTGGACACCCCTGTTCACTGGAGAGCAGGTCACTCTCAGGTGTGAGGTTCAGGGTCGAGGAGACTCTGTCTGGAGCTACAGGTGGTACAGAGGACGGGAGCAGGTGTTTCCCTCGGTGTCCACAGCCCACGATCAGAACACTTTCTCACTCGGCCCTGTGGCTCAGTCCCACAGTGGCCAGTACAGCTGTCAGGGTGTGAGGAGAAGTGACTCTGCTCTGTCCAGCACCAGCAGCTCCATCACTCTGACAGTGACAGGTGAGTCTGTCCAAACACCTGCACCCTGAGGACTCCTGTCCCTCTGCTCTGGGACAGGAGGCACAGCTGACAGAGGGGCTTTCACAGAGTGACAATGAGTGACTCAGTTCTCTTGTGAATCTCTGTTCCTCCAGCTCTGCCCAGGGCTGCGCTGAGAGTAGATCCTCACTGGAGTCGCTTCTACACTGGAGAGAAAGTCTCTCTGAGCTGTGAGATTGACGGGGAGGCTACAGGCTGGAAATATCTCTGGTACAAAGACACCACTGACACTGCAGCGTCCCAGACTGCTGGACACACGCTGACCATCACTACAGCTGCTGAGTCTGACCGGGGACAGTACTGGTGTCGGGGACAGAGAGAAGAGAGAGGACTTCAGTCACAGCTCAGTGACTCTGTCTCTCTGACTGTGTCAGGTGAGTACACCAGCCCTCAGGAGGTGTACAATAGAGCACATTCTGCAGTTAAACAGCAGGATCCTCTCTCAGGGTGTTTTAATTAGTGTGCACTGCCTGCTGAAATGAAGGGCTGGAATCTGTTCTGAGAAGTATTTGAAGTGTGAGAGTGAGCTCTGAGGGAATAAAGACCTGAAAACTAGAAGGATAAGTGCAGCCTGTCCAGCTCCAGGAGAGTGTGCATACAGGCTCAGCAGGACTGAGCACCAGTGCTCCCAGCCTGCAGACCTGATCAGGAGGTTTACTAAGCTCAGACACTCCTGGTCCTTGAGAAACTCTTCCGAAATCCTCAAGCCTGTGTGTGGCTGTAGATCCGACTGTCAGTAAGAAGAAACAGCAGTGAAATCACCTCCATCAGTGTGACAGGAATGA